TTTAATGCGTTCAATGCGATTATAACCCACTATTAAAAACAACAACAACAATGAATGAATGTTTTGAATTAATGAGAAGCTGTAATGTAGCCGAGGCAGGAAGAATTTTGGTGTGGCGGCCCGCCATGGAAGAATGAATGTAGCGGAAAACCATGCAATCCATTTGCGCCACTTTGTGGACTGATGAGTGTTTCAGTGTAGAAAAGAGGTGTGTTAAGGCGCATTGATGGTGCATTGCTTTTTTGAGGAGCTAAAATAGACTGTTAGTTGTGCGCCTCACTTACACATTGCTTAAAACACACAGGATGTACGGCAGTACACAAATTTTTTTACAGATGAAAAAGAATTAACCTCTTAAACTCTGCTGCTATTTAGGGATTTCCGCCTGGATTTTGTCTACCCAAATTTAAAAGCTTCCCAAATCCACATGCAGAAGTGTAAATGCAAAACTTTGGTATCATTTTAAAGAAAACCCTTTGAATCTTCATAAAACACTATTGAAAGTGTTTAAAATATCTGTACATTTTGTCTGTGTTATAATAAATACCTAAAAAAAGAGGCGCTTTCTGTATTTTTTTTTTATAAACTCAAATTTGAAAGTGTCTCTTTTAGGTTGTGTGTGGTCTAGCGTGCTGTAATTAATGTTGGTGGCTCCTGCACATGTCTGTAATCATAGGAAAAAAGAGAAATGTCTCCACCATAATATATGCAAAAGTTATTGTATTCCTGCTGATGAGAGGTGCTGTACAAGCCACAGGGAGCGATCATTGTGTTCATATTTCTCTATTCTTTTGTTTGATCAAACATAATTCACTGTGTTTGGAGCACATCAGACATATAAAAGGATTACTTATGCACATCACCTCAAAAACAGAGGAGAATGGCCCTGAAGCGCACAGCATAAGGTGAGAGATGACAGCTGTCTGTGCTATCTGGTGCTGCATATTGATTATAAATGTATTGTTTACATTTATGCGCCATGTAAACACCGATATTCATTCGGCAACTGTTTGATATGTGAATATAATTCAGTAAAAAGAATGCTAGAACTGTATGAGCACCGGCAAGAGCTTTCATTTGAGCTATAACTTGTACATGTGTCATATGAAAAAAATATGAAAATGAACCAATGTTCAACACCCAGCTGGGGTCTCCAAAATACTGTGTATTTAAGTGTAAATAACTTTTATACAGTAGAATAAACACCAAAGTGATGCATATGTGCATAAAATATAAATTCTGCACTTTCAACCGACACCACTTACGGGGGTCTGGTGCAATGCTGGCCCTTTAAATCTTAACTCGAAAGTCGATGACGTCGCGGAGTTTGAGAGGTTAAAGGATTAAAATATTTTAGAATATATTATTTTCTATAAATATAAACACCACCGCCTCCATGCCTTCTTCATCTCTGGAGGCTTTTTCAGTTTATTCATAACAATCTGCTTTTGTATAATGTTATTATTAATAGCAGTGTTATTTATTATATCCATATTTATATTTGTTTTATTAAAAACAGGCTTAGATTTGCCCACCTGTCAGGTTTTAGACCATATGGGGCACAGCATGTGTTTTAGGATAAACTCAGGTTTTTGACCACACTTCATTACTTGTGTTCATTTATCCGTTTGCTGGAAATTTGAACTGAATTTAGAAATAGTTTTAAACAAATCTTAACAACAAGATTTTCCTCTTAACAAAGGAAATTAAATAAGTGGGCTGACGGAAGTCTGAGTGTACAACACGTTTCCTTATCCACAGAAGGGAGAAAGTGAAAGAGAAAGTAAAGGCCGATTGGAGGAGGCTCGTTCTTTATCCTGGCGCTGCAGATGCTCTGTTCAACTGTTTTCTCTCTAGTGAAGGTTTCAGTTTTCAAACTTACAAAGTCGTCATGTAAATAGCAAATGCTCCATGTAGCGGCGCAACTGGCTCTTAAATGGAATAAGAGATGAGACTCTTATTGGTTCATTCTCAAAACACATGTAAAACTCATTAAGAGGATAAGCTCAACCCTGTTAGACCATGCGCCACGGCGCAAAGCGGGTTTTTCCATCCTTAAAAAACACACCCTTAATGCTTTTGCACCCTGCACTTTGCGCCTAGATCATTAAAATAGAGCCCTATGTGTGGGAAGCACTGGAGATGTATTGTTGGTAAACAGATGTGTATTGAATCGATTGGGCAGCTTTACGTAAACAAAGGAAAATTGAGACCTGTTTAAAATGATTTAAGTATTTAAATATTTTAGAGAATTTTGAAATTTAAGACATTTTAAGACTTTAAGACGCTGCAGACACCCTGTGGTAGGTAATTAAATATGACAGAAATGTGAATGATGTGTGAGGATGATTGACAGGCTTGTAACTAAGCAATTAACAGTCTGTTAATGAGGAAGTAGTTTGTCCCAAAGCTTGCACACTCTTCTGTCACACACTCAAAAGTATGGAGTCTTTTTTCACAAAAAAGTCCATATGTTTAGGAAGTAGTATAAGTGTGTGAAGTGTGATGCAGCTTTATCAGTGAGTGCCCCACCTTGTGTATGTCTGTGTCGTATGTGTAGTCGGTGACGGGCGAGATGTTCTGGGAGAACAGCTGGTTCACCATGGTCCGGTAGGCTTTCCCGTTGACGTTCGCCATGGTGTGCTGGAGCACCTCGTGCAGCTCTGACTCCTCCATCTGCGGAGGCGGGAGCAGATCACTCTTCAGCAGCTCCACCGCCGTCGGACGCAGCGCTGGGTCATGGTTCAGCAGCCAGCCAATCACCTTCCTCTACACACACACAGGAATCATGGGTAATGTTAGGATGGAGGTGAACCACAAAACCACTGCTTCATTTTATATACCGTCAGAATTATTTATGCTCCAGTGAATCGTTTTCATGTGTCAAATATTTCCCAAATGATGTTGAACAGATCAGGAGTTGTTCACAGTGTTTCCTCTAATATTTGTTCTTCTGGAGAAAGTCTGATTTGTTTTATTTTGGCTAGAATAAAAGCAGTTTTTAAATGTTTTAAACCCATTTTAAGATCAATATTATAAGCCTCTTCAGCAATTTATGGCAACTGTTATACAATGACTTGCCTAATTACCCTAACTTTACCCTAATTACCCTAGTGAAGCCTTTACATGTCACTTTAAGCTGTATAGAAGTGTCTTGAAGAATATCTAGTCTAATATTATTTACTGTCATCATGGCAAAGAGAAAATAAATCAGTTATTAGAGATGAGTTATTAACACTATTATGATTAGAAATGTGCTGAAAAAATCTGTGTTAAACAGAAATTGATATACAGGGAGATACAGGGAGGCTAATAATTCTGACCTCAACTATTTATAAATCACCACTGCCTGGCATTTAAGCTAGGGGTGTTCAGATGCAAAACATTCTTGTTTATCTATGAAACAATGCTGAAGTCAGATATTCTGCTTCGAGTAAAGTGCCAGAACGGCTGTCTTTGTTCTGGTCATTTAACCCGCCCAATGCCAGTTTAGCCTATTATATTTCAGCACTTGGGTTGCCAGATGGTGGAAAACAGTGTATTTCATTCATTCAGTCAGTCAGGAAGGCTCTGAAGGCATGTGTTCGTGACTTTAATGCAACCTCAGGTGGACAGTAGCAGACTCTGAAATGAGACGCAGATTCAGAGTTCCACAGGAGGTTATTAATTAGCAAATTATATAATTATTACAAGCGTAAACATTTGGTGAGCAGGTTGCATTGTAACTCCGTGTCCTAACAACACGCTTCATGATGAGATATGCAGTGATGAGCAATTGGGCTGTTTGCACCAGAGGAAACTCAACAGAAATGTAAATACAGGCATTCAGAAGCACAGAATAGTGCACTCACTGCACTCCAGCGCAATAATGGGGTTTATAATCTGATGAACACATATTAAAGCTCTTGAACATGATTAATGTAGAAGCCGAATCACTCATATGTGTTGGTTTGCACTGAGTTTCAGTTCTGAAGTAAAATTTCAGACGCTTTATTGTATTCTCCAGATCTGAGCTGAACTATCTGCTGCTGCCTTCAGTAGTATGGCAATACATGTCCTGTCCTGACTTGCATTATTAGCATTTAACACTGAATAAAGCACATGAGCTGTAGCTGAGCTGATCATTTTCTGAGAAATAGAAGCCGATTCTAAAAGTATAAATGTCAGGTGTTGGTTAGGACAAAAACTCCTTTAATATGGAAAATAATCCCTTTCATTGCGTGCAAATGCTTTCATATAGAACACGATTTAAATCAGCTTTTAAACTCAATCATCAGACTCGCTCCTGTTGGTCCTCAATCTGGCAACCTGCGCCAGCATTTGTTTTGCTCCAGGAGTGCAATACCTAGTTCAACCACTGGGTGTCAAATTCACATGATGCACACAAAGAATGCCCGAGGGTAGATATGCAAAGCAATGTTATTTTGAAGGGAAAACTTCCCCATTAGCAGATTATTTGGCTTGTTTTAATTAAAAACTCGCTTAATTTTGGCAAATTATTTCTGAATACAAGCACATTAGCTTTGCTTGTCTGGAAAATGCTTCTTGATTTAAGAATCTTTAGATATTCGGACAAGATACAAAACAAAAAAAACATTTTTTTGCAGTGTAATTCTGGCACAGTGTACGTTTCTGTTTCTGTTGGGCTCTGTTTGCCCTGTTTGCTCCTCAAATAACCACTAAAACTGTGGTTATACACATAATGTGCCAAATAAATACACTACTATAAGGCTGAAAAGTTATTGTAGATAAACTAACAAAAAGAAAAACATTAAAAAAAAAACGTGTGTCACCTGCGTTCCACTCTCATACTTGCAGAAATCTTCAGGGAAAGTAATGGACTCCTGCAGGACAAACAGAACGAGGATTTTACTTTCAATACATCCCTAATGTTCATCATGTGTGTGTTTGTTCTGAGCGACAGATGATGAAGAATAAACTGATGACAGTGGGATGTGTTTGATGAAACTCACTTTCCTGAGTTGACTAAGCACAAATATGCGCTCTGATGCGGTGCTCATGGGCCTGTAGGACATCTCGAACAAGATGATGCCCAGACTGAACAGATCCACTTTCTGCACACACACAGAGAGAAAGAGAGAGAGAGAGCCAGACAGTAGCTATGTCAGTCCGTCATCACGGTGCGTCAGTATTCTTCTTCTTCTATTATTATTCCCTCCAGAACGGTCCTGAGCATCTGTCTTCGCTCCCGTTTCAAGCCTCCAGAAGCCACCGCATTCACTGCATTCATTGCGTTTGGTCTTGGTTTTCTGAGGCTCATTTATTAGAGGAGAACAAACACTACAGTGGAGAATCCCAACAGTGCAGCAAACTACACTCCTCTCAGTGATATCTGTGCAGGAGCAGCAGGAGCTGGGGAGGTAATGCTCTTGTGTTTCTCACTGACTGGACACGCTGATTATTGACTAATGATTAATGCCATATTACAGATTTGTGCATAAATCTAATTCACATCTGAAGATGGAAACATGGCTAATGAGCAGAGGCACATATAAAGATTTAAAACAATAACTGGTCATCAATACCTGGTTATATGTGGCTTTAGTGTTTCCTTGAACTTCTGGACCGACATAAAGAGCCGTTCCCACCATACCGGTCATGTTATCTGTGGACAAGCACAATAACATGAGCATAGCACTACAATAAAGATTTTATAAACTAAAATATTAACAAACATATTTAATATTTAAGTAATAATTCACACCATTTACTACTGGCTTATTACACACCTATTATTAAGATATTAACTATTCATTAGTAATTATTGAGTACACGCCTAATCCTACCCTAAGCCTAACTACTACCTTAATAACTATTAATAAGCAGCTAATTAGAAGTTTTTTCAGCTAAACATCTTAGTTAATGGTTTGTTAATAGTGTGAATTAAAATAAGTAATAATAAATAAAAGTGTGAGCAATATTTCTGCTTTAGGGTTTTTCCTTCTTCAAGGAGCACATGCTGTTAATTGATTTAAAAGTGGACAATTTTGCGTATAAATATATTTTTTTCTTTTAATAAATGGACACAAATTAAGATTTATAAACAAAGATAAATTAAAAGCGGACATTTCCAACACAGGATAATATATCTTATAATTATAGATATTAAAATATGCA